AAAACTTAGCGCATTCACCGGCCGTAAAGCCCGATGGACAAGGATTGCAATGGAATTGGAGCGGGCCCAAAAGGTTGGGACTAACCCAAGATTAGCATTATTGATTCGTGCGACCGGTTTCTAGAAGCCGACGGTGGGGGCAACCACCAAAATAATCAGAGCAGTGGGACTGTCTTTATTGAAGAAGGGAGCCGCGACCGCTAACCCGAGCTCTTTTATGATCACTTCTCGTGGCCACCAGTTGCTACTTAGTTAGATTGTAGAACGGTAAATTAACCGTTAAGTGTGAACCTGGACCACCGTGCAGCCACGGAATTTCACCGTATATATTCTGACAACGCCACCGACAACCTGGTTTGTGAAAACGCAGCCTGATTTTTGTCTCTATTTGGAAGAAGAAGACTCTCTTGGACGAATTGGTAGTTCTAGCAATGAATCCTGTAACAGGTGCGATAACCACGAAAGAATCGGCTTTAATCAAGTAGTGACAACAGGCTTGATGATACTTATCTTTCATCGAATTATGGGTATTGTAACAAATGGATTCGAGAGCAGGAAGTGGGATCCCCATCCACCAGGGGTTGCGGTGACCTAATTTCGCATTCCGTCAGTTGTAAAGAAAATGCCATGCGTAAAAATGGCACATGCAATTTAATTCACCGCTGTGTTCTCTCTACACATGTGCTGAACTAGGGAGGTCGCAAATGTTTTCGCTTATGAGCAATCCCGTGTATTCTGAGACTTCCGGGCGTGTCCGATTATAAAAAGAGCTCTTCAAAAGCTTACGTGCAACAATTCTTATCTACAAAGGCGTCGCCTATCTCCATTCCAATTTAACGTGGAAGAGGACTGCTAACAAGACGAAAGCTTGAAGATCCTCAGAACTCGGAAGATCAAATTTCGTCGACGAAAACCTTTCTTGTCAGGAATTTGCGGAAGAAATGAATCTCTTCCAATGGAGTGAGGTGCGAAGCGTTAACGCGTTCAATAGTGAGGATCATTCTGCGGAAGTAAAGATCGTTTACAAATATCAATGGCGGAATGGAAAACCGGATATTTCATGAAAACGTTGATACAAAACCAGCATCGTTTCCATTATTCTACAATGTGGAGAGTGCTTGCACTCTCATCAGATCAACCACTGATGAAGTTTTCTTGTTGAAAATCATTCATGCTGAGTGATCCAGGGGAAAACCACATATTTGGGTCTATATAAAAACAGGGAAATAACTAGGAATTTACTTATAAACTCCGTGAGACTAGTAGAAACGTGGTGTTTCACAGGTTCGTACCTGGCTAAGGAGGAAGTATGTGATTTATACCGTAAAATAGATATTCTTCACATTCATTCAACACTCAGTGGATCACAGGTCTACTCGAACTTTTCGGATACATTGATTTGTGGCACATTTGAATGAAAGGCCGACTGGAACTGGGTGTGATTCCTATGAACGTTGTACAGTAGTTATCATTGGAATAAGTCGGAATGATCGGCGACCATGATGATATTGATATGCTTATCCCCACGCTTCATTAGCTGGGTGTTCTGTAATGTTTACAATTCGCCGTTTCGATCCCATTACATTCTGCTCCCAAGTTATGCGGCGTTATTTCAACAAGATACCATTCCCCCAATTTGCATGGGTCCTGGCTATTTAAACAAAACTATTTGGCATGGCCGTGCATGCACAAATTTCAGTCAGTCACATCACCCATGTAGGCGTTCACCTATAACATGGCACTTCTCCGTATACCATTCGAATACCTGAAATCTGCAGTTGAAGGAGTTTGCTTACTCGGCGTATTAAATTAAAGCTGATCAATGATTCATGGATGGAATTTAAGCTTTATCTGTGCAGTTCGCCAAGACAGCAGCGAAATTTCCCCGTGTATTCGGGGTGAACCGTTTAGTTCGTATCCGAAACATAATCACAACTTCGTGGCATTTGACAGTTTTGGCTGACAATTTGGCTTTTGGAGAAGATTGAAGCAGCATTTTGCAACTGTTTCTATATGGATCTGCCATGGATTTCGTTTGTTGGATCTCTATCTGTGCAAGGCCAATTCATATCGTGCATTGGCAGTTTCACCCCTCGTCGCCACAAACGGATTGTGGGCCATGAGCGGTAACTTGAAAGGAGTTTGGTGCATCTATTACATGAATCGTTCGAGATTTTTCAAATTTTACTCCGCTACTGTTCACTTACTTTTTTGAGTCTAAACATCCGTCGCAATATTTTGGTGTTTCTGTTATGTTCATCTTCTGAGGTTGTAGAAATATCGCTTGTTATTTGGACGCTCATGTATTCGTGGGCTGCTTACATGGTTAAATCGGGTAGCCTCGCTCATTGTTCTTTTCATTAAAGCACGGATGGAATAAGGAGCCTGCTTTCAGCGATCAATTGCAGTGACGTTAGCAGGTCCATAAATCGTCGTTTGATTACTGGGGAGGCACATGCCCGAGATCTTTGGAGGCCGCTTACAATGGTAAGACTTGTATAAGCCAACGATGCGAAAAAGCAGCTATCTTGCATTCAAGTGTAATATAGCGTTCCCGCACTTCACCAAGTAACTATCGTAAAAGTAAACCTCCAGCAAACCCCTGATAAGTTACTGATTCGAAGAGATTTTATTAGACGAAGCACACACATGGGCTGCATTTTTTTGACTTCAGAATGCTGCGCTTGAACCAGGCGCACGGCATTCTTACGCCGAAGCTTCTGGGCGCGACATCGCCAGTCCGACTGCAATTTTGTTGGCAAGTTGCAAACTTCTGCGTCATATCAATCTGAAAGAACACCCTGCGAAACTGTTGTCCGCCATCTACAAGTTTGTCGGAAGTTGACAAGTATTAATGGCTGACGTCGGTGGACGTTTGACCACTTCAGACTTCATAGAAGCACCTCTACAGCAGTACAGGGCGTTGGTTGGCAAGGGAATATGCCGCGCCAACATTTCTCAGCAACAATTTCTAATCGGCAGAGTTTCACTCATATCTCTGTTGTGGCTTGACGACCTATCAACCGTGTTCACTAATTATCTGTTTAATTTTATCCAGCAAAAACTATCGTACGTATATATCTAAGGCCAGTTCAATTGGTAATTGCTTCACTGATAATGACAATCCGTTAGCATGCAACAAACCGTGGTGGAAATGTTGATAAAGAACGAATTAACCATACTTAACCAAGACTTCAAAAGTCACGAATCCGGGAAGCATTCACAGAGTCCCTTTGTTGTTTCATCGCCCACTCAAAAATCCATCGAACATTTAAAACCATGGATACACTCCATTCAGCGGTACTGATAGTGCAAAATGAATGCCATTAAAGCGAAATGCGCATAAAGTCAGCAAAACTGATGAATGCGCGGCTAAACAACACAACAGAATTGCGCTCAATACCCTGTATCACTGCAAATAAGAAACATTTACAACGCTCGCTAGCATCCAATTTCTAAGACAAATAAATGACTCAACAGTTTCAGGTTTTGCTCTGATTCAAGCTCACAGAATGTTGGTTATTTTGACCAAACTGCTCCAAATGAAACGTGACGCACCACACGTTTCGCTGTGCAGAAAATTAAGTCATTGGTTCACAAACTGCATGTATCAACGGGACTTTGGGCCACAGATCACCTGCTATGCGGTAATACCATTTTTTAAATCTTTTGGGTATCATATTTAACGGCTTCTGAAGTAAAACTGAGCCACTTTGAGATCGATCATAGTGTAAGGATATTTGGTGATTTCAAAGTGATTCTATATCCTTAGTTTATTGTTTTGCGGAATTCTACACCAAAGCCGCCTTAACCTACTAAACTGGGTAATGCATTGGGCAAAATCAATTCGGGCACAATTGTCCGAGTCGTTCCGAGTAGTTTCCTCCATCCATCTGAGAACCGCTGCCTGCTTTGCCTCAACTTTTTTATGTATTGATGATGTTTAGTCTACTAAATGTAACATTTGTGTTTCTTCCCCCAAAAACCTTAATCTGGTGGTATTATACCAAGAGCTGAGCTGAAGTGCAATTGGTAAACTAACCCCTCCATACCTATCGGAACTGGTCGGCTTCATTCATTATCGCAACTACAACAAGGTTAGTGTGAAGCTACATATTATGCATATGGAAGCGATGACTCTAGGACATTAGTACCCAGTGGCCCTTTAGTTTGGTCAGGGGAGCAGAACCCGTCAACTACTGAATTAAATTTTGCTCATGCTCAACCAGTACCAAGACGATTTAAAGTTTGGTTCAATTTTTTCAAAGTTTTTGTTAAACGAAAATACGGTTGTCACCGCAGATCTTAGGATACATTTGCATAAACGGTATACATACACCACTATCCCAAAGCTGAGTTAGTTTTGATGGGAATATCAGAACGTATTCGGTGACTACAAATTGCTGTTTCATATTCTTTAGCTTACCGAGAAAAAGAATAACGATAACTGACGTTGTCAGTCAGGATTGCGAACGATCTGAAATAAGTTAAATGAACAAGAACTAGTTTAAATAGCCAACTTTTACATACAATCAACAGTCTTTCTAAGATGCAGATGTTAAACATTCTACTGCCTCACACAATGAAACAGGGGTTTGCTTTGACGGTGCTTCGCCACGCCAAGTAACCTCCACCCTCAACATCAGTCAGGACATGGATGTAATCGTTCAGCCAAACGCCACTCTCCTCATTGGCCGGCATGCAATCATTTGGGCCGTCCAAGAAAGGCCGAAAACGAGCTCAGTGGAATCGAAACAGAGGACTAACAGTGGCTGCTGGCAATGGCGTGGGTGGTGTATTATTTTCAGCTCGGGCAAAATACATATACCGGCTACACCCGTTCACAAAACAGGTGAATGTATCCCAATCACCAAGGGTATTCTCACCATTATATCACGGCGTAGATCATTGGTCACGTTGCGGACGATGGCCTCCGTTCTCACGTTCGGACGCCGATCAGGGTTCATATCCCGTGACCACAAACTTCTGAGGATGGGGATATGCGGACACTCCTGGATGATTTAGATTATATTGCGTCGGCATCTGGGCTAGAGACCAATCGGGCCAAGTTCACGGCACTGGAGGCTCTCTTCGGAGGCCTCGGAAGGCCGCTCTGGATGGGGCCAAACGGGTACTCGGAAGATGGAATAAGCCTCCATATACGAAGCTCTTGGGGCGGAGTTCGGTACACCTACCTATTGCCAGGAGTCTATGAGACGGTTTATATCAGCCAGGGTGAGACCGCGAAGCGCCCCAATGTGTTCTTCGACAGCCTGCAGCAGCCGTTGTACGCAATCTACTGGAAATAGATGGAGTGTCGCGCCAACGGTTTCTCTCTTATAGGTTTGTCAAAAGTGGTGACCCTGCGTTTGCTATTCAATTGAGGTTGATGAAATCAGATGGCCGTATATATGCAGGGGCGGATTTTTCAAGAGTGCAGAACACATGGTTAACTTAAAGCGGGAAAAACTCGTGACAAAAATGGCTCAGTCATGCTCAACGGTTAGGCGAGAGCGAACTAAGTGCCCGAATGCTTTCGTCTTGCAACATACCAGGTATATAGTCCGTAATTAGGGAGTACTCAGAAGTGTCCACAGGCTACGGAAGTCCGTTTTGCTCCTGCTGGTGGAATGAATACGAAATTACCCTCTCGTCCGAATGCTTCCAAATCTATGGCCCTCCTTTCACTGCAATTTTATCCTTGCGAGGAGATGCGTAATTGGGCTTGGGAAATTGTGCAAAATGGCATAATCGTGGAAGCTATCAACGCATAACATTGCTCTGTTGCGCTTGTAAAGAAGACGATTATGAAGTGCCCATTTTGCGTGGATTTCTTGAGTTTCATCTGAATGATCGTAAATCCATTCGAGGCTGTTCCTTTGGTTTTGGAAATTTTATATCTGTCTACAGTATTACCGATTTTTCTCTGTGTTTAGCATAAGTTTCTGATACTGGCCACCAGCTATCTAGTCAGAGAACCGGAATTCGAGGCTTTCCTTTGGTTTTGGAAATTTTATATCTGTCTACAGTATTACCGATTTTTCTCTGTGTTTAGCATAAGTTTCTGATACTGGCCACCAGCTATCTAGTCAGAGAACCGGAGAAAGCCGCCATCACGTTTGGTGACGTTCAATATCAAATTAGACGGATGCCGTTTCTTGACGCCTTTCGTTTCTTGAATCTTCGTTTAACGAAGGGACTATGTAATGTTGCCGTGTGTTATGTCTTTGTGTACAGAAGTTTGGAACCGGAGCATCCAGTACAATTTAAGGTCGTATCGTGGCGTATTCGAGGGGCTGGACTGCGGAAAGGTGAACACAGTTCACAATTCGCTCGGAGTCCGATGACAATACTCGGGCATAAACTGGGTCACAAAGAGTTTATCTAACTGCCAGAAAAACTGGTAAAAATCCAGGACCGGGCTGTTCCTAATGTTTTATCTACGGTGGTTTCTCGGACGAGCAGCATGTTGCACATGTTGTCAAGTATCTGAACACAATTGCTGCTTCGATGTAAGAATTTCTGTGGCACGATGAACAGCTGCAATGGACAAAGGAAGCATGTGCTCTTTGATCGTGTCCGGGCGTGGATCTCGGAGCACCAATTGACCCGCAACCTGCCCAGGGTCTGAAGATATTTAGTGTTGCAACAAATGCTAGTGACTGCGGTTTCAGTGCGGTCCAAAACAAAAGGAATGGGCACATCGTATGTGCCAGTCGTGGTCTGACTAGCGACGAAATCATGTACTCAAATATTGAGAGAGTGAGTTTAGCGATCTCTTGGGCAACTGACAGGTGGATATTATGATTGATGGGGCAAGGATTCCAGGTCGACACCAAGCACAAACTCCTCGAGTGGATGAGACCACCATATGTTGGCATGGCAAGCTCGTCCGCTTGGTATTCGTAGCTGCTTATTTGCTGTTTGCTCATAAACGACTTTGCGCAGAACGGCTTTCTTCCATACATTGATAATGCACCAAAATGCACGTAAAATCTGATACGTTTAAAGTCAACGCATATTGTTAAACGCGCCGCCTAACAGCACAACAAAAGCGAACACAGTACCTTGTATCACAAGAAGATAAGCAAGATACAGAAGACGCGCTAGCATCCGATTTAACAGAGAACTAAAAATGACTCGGGAATATCGGCTTTTGCTGTAATTCAGGCCTATCTTTTGGCGGTTATTTTTACTAAATTGCTTTGAAGGAAACCTGGCGTGTTTTGTCATAGCGTGTCCCTGTGCAGAAAGTTTCGTGGTTTCGCATTTACCTCTCCCGATTACGCAATTGTCTTCTTGGCTTGTTCGCGTTTAGCGTTCACCCCCAAATAGTTCCACGCGATCAGGTGTTGGGAGAGAGTACTTTGCCTCCACGATGATAAGCTTTTATTATTCTGTCGTCCAGATACAATTGTTCATCTTTTGTTACCTCACGCCTGTCTGGTATTATATGCTTGCTTTGTACATTCCTAATCCCTCCGCATATCAGTGTTTAAGTAAAATCCTGCCATCCAATGAGTTTACCGGCCGCCTCGAACATCATTTCTTAAAGATTTTAACCTTGTGTTAACCTACAGCAAACGGACTTTGAGGCGTTGAATGTTCCGACCTATGGTTTTCAAGTATGGTCACATCCAGTCTCACCGTTTGGCCAAACAGCATCAAAATCTGCAATTAAAGGAGGCGATGCCAACTCGAAAATTTGGACGGTAGTCTAGTATAAAACCTTGATGCTGTAGTAACAAGGGGCGCTGAATTCGGATAGAAAGTTGATGGACTTGAAATACAAAATTTTGAGTAAGGGGGCTTCGAACGCCATGCAGTGAATACATAAATTGAAGGCCAGTGGCCCAGAATGTCCTCATCAAATTGTGAGTGTGGATGGTAGCTACGTGAAATAACGCCTTCATCCCTAAATATGGTACCCATCGTGCGTAAAAAACCACGTGCAGTGCAGTCGCCTAATTGGATATGTTTCATTCAGATATCTGCTTAATAATTAGTGTGCAGTGGCGCACCTTTTCGAAACGGCAGAAAATCGAAGACGTCTACACAAGTGTATATAAATGCCTACAAGCTCGTCTCTCTCTACACGTTATGCAAATCACAACCAAAAGACGTTTTATTTTTCTCTCACGTCGCCGTTTATCTGCACAATAGGAGGCACATACTCTTTCACCTTCCGTATCATTAGACGGTAACTGAGGGAGTTCTTTGTTCCCAGGCTTCAACCAAATGTGATTCCCTGTTTTCTGCCACGGCTGGTGGTTTACATTAAGTCTGCCTTTGCCGTTCGTGTTATTCGCATCAACCAAAATGCAAGCGTTGACTGCATTCGTGATCTAATACTTCACTTTCACGAGCAACCTAGACTTTCATGAACACTTGTAAAATTTTCTAACGAAACTATCTCTATAGAAGTTACTCAAAATAGTCTTAAGATTTCCATTTCTCCATATGATACGTTCATGTTCTTTAACAAAATGACGCATGTCAGGCCGCACCAAATTGTTCTCCAGATTTTAAACTTGCTTTTGCCTGACACGACTGTGGGACCACGATGGATATGTGGAACCGAATTTTGCTTTTTTATTTTCAAGTTATATTTATCATGGGCGAATAAAAGGTGAGACCGAGAATTTCGGCATATTATCTTCGCTTAAGGTGTTGAACAATTACAGAAACCTGTTTTATTCCGACAAATACTCTGTATATCGTGCCTTACTTCGAAACCTGATGCAGAATCCGCCCTATGTATGTGGTGAAAATAACCTGTTGAAATCGCTGTCAAGAAATGCCTTGTAGTTCTGGTTTTATGTGATTGAGATATCCGGTTTGAATAACACTTCCAGATTTGGTGGTCATACAGGTTGTAATTAAATGAAGCAAAGTGTGTTGGAAAACCATGGAAGACAAGGTGACTAATGAGATTGGAAAAATAAGAGCTTTGTGCTGAGGTTTTCCTCATTGAAGATTACTCACTGTTTGAAGTGATGACCTGAAAATTGCGAGAGGTGTTACATATTCATTGAGGTGCACGCTTTGTAGCCGAGGTTTGGAGCGGAATTTGTCGGAAGATTTGCTGAATTTGAACAATCTACCGAGGGCTACGTGAGAATGGTTTGCAATTTTGCAGGCTTGGGGAAATCAAAGACCTACCCATGAGTCTTCAGCAAAGAGGCCGCCCAAGCAATAGAGTGGTTTTGCCAGAATACGGCGGGTAGTTAGTCAAACTTAAGCGGTTGTTCCCATTCTATTGACCTCAGTTCTATAACATCGCTATAGCATGCCACATATTGTGCGCCTTCGGCCATTGACAACTTTCGTCTGTAAGATTCATATACCTCCCGGAATGCTCCGAAATCACAGTGACAACTACAGAATCCACATGTAAGCACTTCTATGGATTTTGTGTTGAAAGAACTAATGTACTGTTCATTAGTGATAATAATTTCCATGGTAACATAATAGAAGCTTGTAGGCATGCAAACACAAATAATTGCACTGGAAATAAAAAGTTGTGGCTCAATGTTCGCGGTCCTCCATGCGATTTTGCCCGATTAATTTCTGTTCATATTTCGGAATTTTGATGAAGCAGTTAATTCCGCTGAATTTCTACAAGGCAAAACACTTCACCAAATTCAGTACATTGAAAATCCAGCATTCGCATGGAATCCAGTGCTGCCGGTTTACAGAAAGTGCAAATTATTCCCCCTCAGTATGATATACGAACAATCATTTAACGGTTTATATTTTGTAGAACTCGAGTGAACAAGACGATCATACTTATCGAAATGTACCGGAATGTTCGTCCGTTGGCACTGATTTCTGAGTGGCAGTCGAGTGGATAAGTCATCATCTCACTATATATTCACAATAAATTTGCTATTGCTGGAAAACTCATGGCCGTATAACGCAGTAGCCGGCGGTCATCTCTCATGATTAGAGGGTGAATCCACGTTATCTGTAACCGAAACACGTGTATGTTTAATGTCCGCAACAGAGATACTTATCATCTAATTTTGTTTTTTCGACCTGAGCTGGAACGTCGGTAGTCAGAATCTCTGTACATGTTCGGAATACACCTAATAATGAATAGAATGAACCTGCTGTACAAAGCCGTTTTGACTTCTCAGGTTACCTTCTAACGTATGGCAACCATAATCGCAATGAAGATCTCCGAAGAACGTCTCAAGCATTGCAGTGAAGGGAGACCATAAATTGGTTACTAC